AGTCTCAAAGAAACCTCCAAAGGTATTGTACCTAAAGCATGACAAAAAAATTCCCCAACCTTTGCTTCAGAAACTCTTAGACTACTGTCAGCAGTAATCTGTCAAAATCAGTGGTACATCCAATCTATGGACTTCAAATCTACATCTTTATAGAGCATGGAGCTGTCCAGAGATATTTATATCCACCCGACCTTGAGCAAGGAGTGACAGTATTCTATGGAAACTAAAGGAATGTGTATGTGCTCTTGCAGATACATCACTACATTGGTAATATAAAGTGAAGTAAATCATGTTGAGTACAGGTGGTAAAATGTCACAGGTCTTTTATTGGCTAGATGAGCAGTTTAAGGTTGATGGATTACTTGCATGTCACGTTGAGGATTTTCTTTGGGCAGGCTCACAAAACTTTTCAACAGATGAGATTCCTCTACTGAAGTCTTCGTTTCAATGTTGGATACAAAATACATGAAAATCCCTACTGTTGGTGGTGTAGTTCAGGTACCTTAGCAGAGAGAGAGACTGAATTTTTTTCAATTGATCTGACTGATATTCACTCTCTGTAAAATGCCTTTCAGTCAGCAAAATAGGTCACAGAGAGGAGACTCTGGCTGGAAATAAGCAGCATCAAGGAAATCATACAAAGCAAGAATATCAAATAAGTTCTCTGGTCTGACAAAAAAGCTCAGCTCGCTGATTGTCAGCCAATAAGGGAGCTTCAGCTCTAATGCTTTTGAAAGCACTAAGTGAGCGACTGTGGGGTTTGTGATGAAACCTTGTTTACATGCACTAATGAAAGCACATGCACTAATGAAAGCATTGAAAACTTCTGTTTGAATTGTTATTTTGTTAATCATTTGCCAAATCCACTCTTAATGCTCAGTGTCACTCAGGAATAATATTGTTAATGGTAACTAGATGACTTTGTTTTGTAAAATTCGGAAATGTCAAAAAGGTACAATTTTTATTTAGGAGATTGTTGTATTTCCTCCCTACCTTGTATATAACAGTAAAAGGGCAATGCTGTTTTCCATTTGTTTCAGTTGAAAGTTTAATAAAAAAAAACTGTTACAAGTATATAAATCTTGTGTTTATTACGTCTAACAGCATTGAACCACATAATGTTGTTTAACCCCTAACTTTTCCCCAATGTTTGAATGTTGACTGCATATCTGCTCACACACTCGCTTACTGTTGCACAGCAGGAAAAGAAGCTGAAAATGTATTGTCCTGTGATTCTCTGTAGTGAGAACCCTCTTCCCTGATGTGGAACATCTGCCATGACTACATGATTAATGAAAAAAAAACACAAATGGTTTTTTTTGTTTTTTATTAAATGAGGATCATTTTGTCCACTGAGGACAATGACTTGTCTCTCTTTGATCGTTTGGCCTGTCAGGTCCTCTGCAGCAACACAAACACTGAGTCTCAGGGAAATCCTCTCATCTCACACTTGCGGGCAATTAAGACGACAAGTGGCAGGCTTCCGATAAGATCTCCTTCTCATACAAGAGGACAGGCGTGAAGAGGGGATGACAAAGATAGCGGGAGAGGACGGGCATGCTGAAGAGAGACATGACTGTAAAATGAAATAAAAAGAGTGAGGAAATTCACTGCAATCTTTGGTCAGAGTTTTCTTCCAACAGTTGGAGGGTGGATAAACGAGGCAACAGTGGAGGGTTAGTCACAGTGTCTCTGGAAGAGACAGGGGACAGATTTTCCTCCGAACACTGAGCTACTTCAAGAAGAATTAGTAGAGTTACAATGGGTCTCAATCACCAACATCTTCTTCAGTTTTTTCTTCAATTCAATCTTTAGAAAGTTCCTATGTCAGATTCATGACATCTTCTTATGAAGTCAAGGATGCCTTAACAAAGTTCCAAAGATGGTGGTGCATCAGAATCAAAACCTAAAAACTCAGTTCTATTTTGTAGCCAGCAGTGGATATAAAATACCACAACAAAACAACACATGGGATGCAGTTAAAAGTTCACAGGCCGGGCTGGGTTTGGCCATATATTTTGAAATGGTTTTGAGGTTTGGGTCAGTTACGTTAGCTGGGCTGATCTTTTACACACCACGTCTGTAAATATGGAAAGTTTAACTATGTGTATCAGGGTCAATAGACATAAACTGGGTGCAGCTTACATTAACTGCATCAGGCTCGGGCACAAAATACAGAACGCAGTCTGGTTCGGGTGGGGTTTGGTGAGTTTTCTCTTGGGCTCGGACAGGTTCAGAACTGAGCCACTCTGTAATCTGGACACATACCTGAACCCTGTGTGAGCGGTTGCATCTCTTGGGTCATTTCCCATCTCAGAGGCAGAAAGTCAGCTCGGTTTTCAGAATTACACTGAGTGTAAAACCTAAAGATAAGTGACTCTTTTGTTAAGAGTAAGTGTGAGTAATTGTTTTCCTTTTCAACATGGTCCATGTGTTTAAAATACTCAAGACATCTGAGGAAATAAATACAAATTTACAAATCTAAAAAAATGCATGGAAACGGTTTTAGTTTTTAATGATGAGTTTCCTTCTGGAGATTAATTGTTAGCTATAAAAAAACACAAACCAGGCACATATTATAAATGATAAGATAGTATCCTAAATCATACAACTGTAGAATTAGATTAAAACACAACGACTGATTATTTGTACATGCATGTCAGTAGTCAAGTGTGTGTAAGAGTGCTCCTGAGAGTGCAAAGATTCTGTTCATACACAAGAACAAATACCAGACAAGAAATTAAACATTGGTGAATGTCAGAATCTTTGTAAAAACAGTTTAAGTGATGAGGTAATTTCTTCATAAGAAAGGGTGGTGAATGAGGCCCATTGTTCTCAGTAATGTCGGAGAGACAGGTCGTGTGTGAAATGAGGGTGGAGTGGTCAGAGGGAGCAAAGGTTGAGAAAATGAAAATGCTTTAGGTAGAGGGGAGTGGGGTTCTAAAGACAAACAGAAAAGTGCTTGTAGGTCGATTTTTTTTAATCAGTTTCAGTCTGTTGCTGCTAAATGTAATTACTTTGTGCCATAAGAGCTCAACAACCACTCTGTCATCAGAGGTGTGGAGGAGGACAAAGTCAAACCACTCCCTCAACCACCAGTGAACGTGAGACAGTTTAAAACCACAGCACGCAACTACAAGCCCCCAAAACCAGGAAGTCTCAGAAAAGTTCTGAAAACCAGAGTCAGTGGATATTTCAGTTAATAGCTTTGTAGGTGTCCAACAGATCAGTTGGTGAACAGAACCTGAGTGATACACCGGCCTGGCAAATAGGACGAGATGACTTTTAGCTTAACAAAGTCATTATCAGCGTGTCAGACACAATAGTACATAAATGTTTTAAATGAGAAATGTTGAATCACTTGTAAATGAAGATTCAACATGAATATCTCTGTATCTGTTGTTTCTAGCTTTCCCACAGTCAAGTATCCTGCTCAGTAAATACCTTTGTTAGACTTCAGCCCTTTTCACACATTCTATTTATTTTTTAGAAAACAAACTTTTTCCTCTGTGTTTGAGGCTCTCATCCACATGCAAATTGGTTTAGGTCACTAAAACAGTGAATTTTACAAACACCTTCCAAAATGCAGATTTTCAAAAACTCAGGTATGTATCTCTGTGTAAAACAGAGTTTTTGGGTAACAATGGCATCACAACTTACTTCACGTGTGTCATGAGCATGCACCAGGAACAACAACAACATTGGTGACTGCATACAAGAATTTGTACGTTTGGTTCGCAAAGCAACATTACTGAAATTCACAGCTTTCTTCTCCTTGTATTTGACGGATCACTGACTTTATCACCACCTACTGACCTGGCAGGCTTGAGCATTTGTTGTCATTTTTGTGATCTGATCTGGACAGAGATCTTTTGTAAAAAGCCGTGTGGAGATTTCATTTAAAAATTGAGGGAGAAAATAACATGTCAAAAACATCTGCAGTGCTGTAGAAAAGGCCTTGATTTTCTGTTGAAAATGTTTGTTGCAAGTAAAATCGTGGCTTTCCAAAAGACAGCAACCCCTAGTAAATCATTAAAATAAATTAAGTCTGTTTGTTATTTAATTCTATTCATATAATGTATTAATACAAATCTCTTCCATCTGCCTTACACTGTCTACCTGACTCAGATTTGTGCTGGTACATAGTACACCAGCTTGAGTATGCACCAGTGAATATACTGAGGTCACAATTTCAATCCCACTCACAATCCCACACATTTGTTATAAACCAGCTGCTACCTTTGAACTTTGCCATGTATGGTGTAGAACCCTGAAAAACTTCCAGACAGTGTTGTGACTGTCTCCTCAGGATGGCTGTGCTTGCTAGTGTCCTCGATTCTCATTCCAATACAACGTAACATTACTGACTTACTTCACTAATAAGTCAAGAGGGCAGGCAACAGGTCAAGCAGATGGTGACGGTCTGATGCACCTCTAAAATGTACTTTAAATTTGAACAGGTCTGTACGGATCGAATATAAACGATTCCCCAACGTTCAAATAGATATTCAAATAAAAAGTGACAGCCCGAGTTTTTCTAGCATTAACATGGAGGAGGTGGGGTTTACAAACGATATTGCAGCCATCCACCAAGGGGCAATCCAGAAGAATTGTCTTCATTTCTGGGAGCTTTCATGCCGTCAATCACTATATACAGTCGTTGTTCAGAGGAGGCCATTGTCCATCATTATCACATTGTGAGCATGATCTGCCTATCCAGCAAATGTCAACCAGAATAAATCAGAATATGTATTAAATTGATGTGTGAAATATCGCAGCCCAAGTGATAATCTGTCAAATGTCCTCAACTGAAACACAACAACCTGCTCCTGCAATACTTAAATGTCATGCTGTCAAGTGTAAATACGATTAAAATGTTAGGGTATCAAATACCACTGCATCCCCAACAGGAGAAGAGCTCCAACTCAAAAATGCCAGCTGAGGACTCAGACCAGTTTTAGTTTTACACAGGGAGTAGAGTACACATGAAATAATCTTGCCTCATTGTAGCTCCTCACAGCATTGCAGAAAGCTTCATCTGCCACGATCTGACTCTCCCCGTTGAGGAAGGCCAGGAAGCGCTCCTTCACCGCCTGCAGCTGCTGCTTGTTCACCTGAGAGAGGGAAAAAGGGACATAAAGATTAGCGATGGAGAGTTTGAGAGGGAGGAGAAATGTTAACATGGGAGAAAGTCATCAATTAGAGAAAGATGGAGAGCAGAAGAGGAAGGCAGGGTAGAAGAGACATAGCACAAAAGTACAAGGTTAGACTATTTTTTAATGTGTGATACCGTCATTAAAGAGTCAATATCAAAACACTGTTAATTATTTTCAGAGTTATGATTTACTTTAATGTTTTCTTCCTTGTAGACAACATTCGTTTCAATTCTCTTTTATGTAAATGTTAATCCATTATTTATTGGTAAATTTGTATTATTTCTCCATTTTGTGGTGCAGGAATTGTTTAAGTGTTAGTATATATGTTTGTTAGTTTATAATGGTTACACAGCATAATCTGCTTTCTTTTGCATTGTTGCATCCAATGAAATCAACACATCTGTGAGTTTTAAAGATGGGTAAACTGATTTTAGACCAATACAGTGGTTTTAGATAATGTGCACCCCCCACTGCTGTTTCAGAACCTAACTACTGCAAGCCACTGGAAATGCTAACATAGCTATCTCACAGGACATTATACCCACAATCACCTCCACAGCAGCACTCCAAATCCTAATGCTGAGGCCTCAAAGACTAAAGCTAACATAAAGAAGAAAATGAAATAACAAAAGGGCAAAGACACACAAACTTCGGTGAGGTGTTTCGGCGGAGGAGAGACCACTGGGAGTTGGAAGGGATGAATAGGTTGCTCTGTTTCAGCTTGACAGGTAATATTACTGAATAAAAACAACTTTCACCGTTGATAAAGGAAGATGGGGATCAAAGAACACTTGAAAGCAAGGTAAACTGAAACTACTTGTCATATGCCCTTGAACACAAGACTCCTTTTTCAGATGAGATGTGCTGATGGAAGCATGTGTGTGCGCAGCTATGTAAAAAATATTTTAAGAACCATTAAACGAAAGATTTAATGGTTGAAACTGGCAAAATCACAGTGTTTGAGTCACATAATGATGATGGAGACAACTTCTGATCGTGACATTCCAGTGGGAAAAAAAGCTGTATTGTGTGCAATATGTCTGCACAAGCTGACTTTGATAATGAGGTAGTCACATACGTGTTGACATAAATGAGACAGCTCTACGGTTCACACTCATTCGGAGCAGCATAAAATCACAGTTGGTCACAAGAGATTGACAAAAGTATTTTTTTTTTTGTCCTGTGGTATTAAAACACATTTACTGTTACCATCAGTTACTACAGGTGTCACCAAATTAACCAGGACTGAAACCTTTCGGATTAGCACTTTAATCAATATCATCGTGAACTCTATATATTAAGGACGAAATAAGACATTTAAATGTAGTGGAGGCGGGGCTAAGACATACTAACCTACACCCCGTCACGCACATACATTGTCATCATAAACACTTTGTGCCTCTGGAGTTTCTCTGAGGAAACAGGCCGCGCACCTTTGATTAGAGAATTTCTTTTCAAATATATGCCTGTATATGTCATGATGTAGGACAATCAATATGGTAGAGTCTGCATATTTACTCATTAATGCATTTTTGTAAAGAACAGTCATATAATTTAGTTTGCAGCTTTAAAAACACATTGAAGAATGCAGTATTTCATGAAGGACATCACCCTGAGTGAGAGAACTCAGCTTGATGTTTATATTTTTGAATTAACCATAAATGTACCTGTTAAATGTTGATGAAAATAACTGAAGCTTTCCTGTTCATCTCCCTGCTCACCTACAGTGCAACACACTGACTCTTCATCCAGTCATTTTCAACTATTTTCAAGTCTGTGTGGTTTTCAGAAGAGCAATTCTCAGTGGAGCAGTCAGGCCAGACTCAAAAATCTCCCATAAATGTCATCGGTCCTGGTAATATATGCTCAGTGAACCACAGCTGACATATTGGTCTGCATGAGATTTTAAGTTTTCATGAGCAACAAAATCACCACAAACTGCTGCTCATTCATTGCATATGTATGAGGCTTCGTCGTGGGGAAATTAAGCCATTATTCTTCTGCCTTTTGCAGCGCTGCCAGCAACAAGTACATTCAGGAAGTCAAAGTGCCACTTTCCACTGACACAAAGTGGGCTGTGACTTATTTCATGCTGCAAGCTCTTTGTGTTGGCAACTTCATGTTTTCTGTGTCTGAATGGTGATGCAGTTGTTTGGGTAAATGTAAGAAGAGCGGCAGGCACTGACCACTCAGGTTATAAATGACTGAACCTTCATTTAAGAGGTGGAAACTGAGAAATACTTTTCACTGGAGATGAGGAAACTCTTGCTGAAGAGTAATGTAGGACAAGCAGTCTGTCTCAGGTCAGAGTGATGCTAACAACACTCATTTCACGTCTCAGATGTGGAGGCATAAAGCATGTCACATGAGATCAGCCCTGTTTGTCTCAAAGGTCTTATTTTCCTCTCGGCTGCATAACTGCCCCACTCTCTGTGTGGACATTGGCAAGTCATCCTTGTCTTGTACCTGATGAAGAATGCTGGTGCCAGGAAGAGAGATGTGAAACCATTTTAAACCTCTGGTGTAAATATAAACACTTGAAATGGTTTCACAATGATATCAATATATAAATAATAATACAAATTTAAATCACAGGCTGATCCAGGTTGCATGAACTTCCTCACCGCAACTCATAATGTGACTCAGTTGTGTCTATGGCGTCAGAGTTCCTGTATGCACTCCTGACAACAGTTGGGAACGCTCCTGTTGAGTCAGAGGATGGGGTCCAGGGGGATCTCCTCCCAGACCTGGATAAGGGCATCAGTGAGGTCCTGGACAGTCTGTGGTGCTACTTGGTGGCGGCGAAAACACCGATACAAAACGTCCCATAGGTCCTCAATTGAATTTAGGTCAGGGGAACAACAGGGCAAGTTGATGGCATGCTTGTCATCCAGGAACTCCCTGCACACTCTGGCCACATGAGGCCGGACACTGACCTGCACCAGGAGCAACCCAGAGCCCACTGCACCTGCATACGGTCTGACAATCACTGAGGATTTCATCCGGTACCTAACAGCAGTCAGGATACTGTTTGCTTTGACATGGAGGTCTGTGCGACCCTCCAAGGATATGCCTCCCCAGACCATCACTGACCCACCGCATCTCCAGACTCTTTCACGCCTGTCACATGTGTTCAGTAAGAACCTGCTCTCATCTGTGAAGAAAAGGGGGCGCAGTGGCAGACCTGCTTCTTCTGGTGTTCTCTGGCAAATGCCAATCAAGCTGCACGATGCTGGGCTGTGAGCACAGGTCTCACTAGAGGATGTTAGGCCCTCATTTCACCCCCATGGAGTCTGTTTCAGTTTTGTCAGAAACATGCACACCTGTAGCCTGCTAGATGTCATTTTCTAAGACTCCAGCGGTGCTCCTCCTGTTCCTCCTGCACAAAGGTGCAGATGTGTTGATGCCCTTCTACGGCCCTGTCCAGCTCTCCTTGTGTAACTGCCGGTCTCCTGGTATCTCCTCCATACTCTTGAGATTGTGCTCGGAGACACAGCAAACAACCACACGAATGGATGTGCCATTCTCGAGGAGCTGGTCAGTAGTGATAAGAACACTGGCAGAACACGAACTAGAAAAAAGGAGGAGGAGAGAGCAACTGTCTGTGGCCACCACTTGTAAAACCATTCTCTTTTTGGGCCTTTTCTTGTTTTTGCCTCTCCATGAACCTGTTGTCACTTTCATTTGCACCAAAGCAGGTGGAACTGTTTCACAATCACTTGTGCTTCCTAAATGGACAGATTGGTATCCCTGGAGTTTGGTGTTATACTGTGATGAGAAGGCACAGTGATACATTTTTGGTGCACCTAAATTATGTGCTGGTGTAATGTGAAGTGAGTGTGAGTTAGGTGCTCCAATGTAGCCATAGTAAAACGTGAAGTAAAACGTAAATTAAAACGTTAATCTGGAGCCTTGTAGTCGAAGTTACGCTTGTACTGTGTCTGCTTTTGTATGCCTACAGGCCTGTTATGTTATGTCCAAGTTATCTTTTTGTCTCCCTTAGGTTCTTATTTAATACCATTTTAATACATTTAATGTAGTTTTATTTTATAGAATGCTGATGATTTTTTTCTGATGCTTTATCCAATACACTTGACTTGATCTGACCAGCCTGGTTCATCACAAAGCTCTAAGAAGGGAGAGCAATGCAAAGATACAGCAACCAGACGGTAAAACAAAGGTCTTTAAGTTCAGCGTTGACTCTAACCAATTGGTTGTTATAGCAACACTGGAAAATTGAGCTGTTCTGAAATTTATTATAACACTTCAGATATCAGCACATTTAGATGAAGCCCAAGTGCAGTTACTCTATAAATGCAGCTGCATGCATTGACTGAGGAGAATCTTTTGACCGGCTTTAAGACATGAAAAATGAAAATATATTAGAATATACAAGAAAAGATTTGTAGCTTTAATTCAGTTTGATCTGCCTTTCCAGAGCAGACACAGAGGTGCATTATGTGCATTCTTGCTCTGAATAGAAATACACAACTCCAAACTCATTTTATCACCATCTCTCATTGCAGCAGTAATGGCTCCCCTCATACAGATGCATCCCATCCAAGAAATGAGAAAAAAAGCTGGATATACACAGTGAATAACTTTCTGTTGGGTTTCAGTTGGATTTCTGTTCGTGGCTCCACATCTCCTCGGCTTTGTGCGGGAAATTGATTTGTCCCACAGGGGTTTAGTAAGCAGACGAGGAGCAATTCCTCTCCGCGTCAGCGACACAGAACATCCAGGTGGCAGTTTTACTTTCCCTTCAGGGATGTCATTCTCCATGCTGGACACAAATTACCATTTTTCAAAAACCTCCCTGCTATTCTAGAACCACTCTGAGGTCAAATGGCCGACCATCAGCTAGTGCTGACTCTCTGTGCAGCTTTCAGTGATAAGCTGCAGTTGCTGCTGCTGGCTTTTAATTTCCCTGCAATACAGAGAGGTCTCCAGCTGGACGA